CACATGTACTTTCCCTCCCACCTTTTTGGAGAGAAAAAGTGTGTCTTATGGAGCGAAAAATACGGTAAGTATATTATTTCAGTTGTGCAGTACAGATGCAACATTCCTCACTCTACTGCCCTCCATGCTTTACAACAGCTTCTACACACAGATACATTACTGGGAGAAAGGATAATAAAAAGAAACACTCCGATTTTAGGCAGTTTCCCTTTTTTACATTCACTTTAATTCAAGTATCTTCATGGCTATAAGAATAAAGAGCAGTTTGTTCTGGTGTTGTGATGCTAAACCCATTTACTTGGGTATAAGTATCATTTTGTTACAGAGAAGAATGACATCTTTTCAATGTAAAAATAATAAAAGATACATCAGTAAACATAATACAGGCCCAACTTTTTCAAAGGAAGAAGGAAGGAAGAAAGGATGCTGCAGCAAGTAATTCCAGCTCTGGCGGGCTCTGGCATTTTCATTCTAAAGAGTAAGTGTTAATGCTGAAATAATCTGCCCACCACCACCACCACCACCACCAAAGCTACTGTTCTCCAACTGGCCCTTTTTGGGAACCCTAGGCTGTGAGGCCCTGAAATCTAGTTGCTTGAGCTGCAGCAGTACAGTTGCAGTCTACTATCCTGTGTTATGTAGAAAACCTTGGGCAAAGAGTTCATTTGGCTCAGCGTTAGCTGTATCACAAAGATAGTCTATATGAAGGGCAACTTTAAAATTTTAGCAAGCCATATAAAAGGGTTGACAGTGTATATCTCCCTAATCATTTCAAAAACCCACTGTATTTGACACAGAGTTTACTGACTCCAGTGGAAAATGTGGAGTCAGGGAAGTAATCTGTGACACTGCTTCATGAATGCTAGGATAAAAAAAAGTAACAAAATGATATTTATCCCTAAGCTGCGGAGAAAAGAGAAGAAATGGAATCGGAAAAGGCAAAGGCTTTTTATTTTACTTAGAATCTAATAATCCCTCTGTGAATTATCCAAGTTCAACAGAGTGACAGCCTGTTATACGGGCTAAGTGAGGTATTTGATGCAGCTTACTGTAATAGCAATTTGGTACATAATACGCACTCTGTTGCTGAGGTCAGCACAAATTGATTTTAAAAGAGACAGGGTAAGCCTGTCTGATCCTACATTCCTACCTTACTCAAATCTCTCTGCTGAAGTTGAGAAATATATAAGTACGACAACAGATTCAGCCTGGGCTTATACTGATGTCTGTGAAATGGCAAATTAATGATTCTGTAGTCTATATTCATACTGAAGGATAACACAGACTTTGGAAAAACAACGTGAGGCACATTTATTACTCCAGTGACATCTGGAACAAGGAAGAAAACATTTGTCATTTTATCAATGAGCTATCTATTATAAACCTGCTCCCAATAGGAATATAAACCGAGGCCCCAGATTACAGGCAAACTCTGGAAAATATAACATAATATATAAGCAACTTCACTACTGCCAAAATGCATTTGAAAAAGCTCTTTTAAAATGTCCATAATGTAGTCAGGGTGTGATATATATATTTTTTTAAAAAGAACAGCTATTTTTCTGTAACATTATTTAATTCTCCCTCTGTTCTAAATCACATTTAGTACAGATGCCCGGAATTACCATCTCTGATAGATTCAACAAAACAGATTAATGTGAATGTCAACACTTAAAAACTTATCTTCTAGAAGAGTATAAACTGAGAAATGGTCTGTACATAAAAAGGTACAAATTATATAACTATATCTTAAGGCAAGATTCATTTAGTGCTTTTCAGTACACAAGGACCCCTCAAAGTGATGCACAGCGAAGAGAGAAATAATTAAAATAGATTAAAACTCTATTTAAAAGTTTAAAACCCAATATTCTTTAAACACAAATCAAGAAAACTCTGAGCTCAGTTTTAGACATAGGGTACTAGCTACCAAGTGCTACTTTCTAAGGTATATATCTGACTAAAAACATAAACCCCTCTCACTTTATGCTCAGGAAAAGGCAACACATGAAGAACTACTAATTTGCACTCAGGGGGCAGTGGAAAATTCGGCACGGCATCTTTCCACTCAGTAAATTGTAAACCATGAATAAAGCAGGATTAGGAAGGGAAAAAAACTTTATTATCAGTTCCAGTTGAAATGCCTCCTGGGCAATATCATACTGATCATATCAGAATGCCATTCGCAACAAATTCTACAATCCACAGGCAGTTCTAGGACTTGAGTTTATCCAGCATTAACAAGCCCTAATAGTCTAGTTCAACTCAGACATAACAAACGGAAATGTCTTTAAATTATCCTCCCCCTGAGACATGATTTCATAAGAGAACAAACTCTATATGTGTATGGAGAAATTTCCAGTATAAACATGTGGTGGACTCTAAAGGCTGCAGTCAGGTTAGGATATGGGTATGCCAAATGCAGAGTGCAAGATAAAATTTCAAAGTGGCTGATTTCATTCTAATTCACAGCGTGTACTTGGAAGTCTGAAGAACACATGTGAGACACTTTCTAGCCAGGACATAGTCTGCTCTATTTCATCTTCGTCTACAAGAAATGGCCGAGCTACAGAAGCCGCCAATCAAACAGTTTGATCATCAGCAGTCTCAGATGTTTGGTTCTGTCCACACCCTACAATTGTGCTTTGAAACTAAGTACAAAATTGTTCTTGGGGAAATTTGATTACAACTGTCTAGTTGAAGCAGAAGTACTGTACATTCATGCTTTTGGCAGGATTTGGAAATGGCAGTTTGCACTGCATTCTTTTATTGACAAAGGCCCAGCCTGCACATTTGGTGATTTAGGCTTTTGATTTGAAACAAGTCTGACACCACTGAAAGTAGCATTATACTGTATGATGCATGTCACAGATCACATTAAAAAATACCAAAAAAAGCAGAAAAAGGTTAATTTTATCTTTGAAATAAATCCCATAAAGGTTTGTTATTCACAGAAGCTTGATGAAAAGAAAGTCTTGCTTAAATGCTTTGAACACACAGCAATCATATTTAATGCCTAAAGTAGCAAGAGACTCTTACATTTAAATCTGCATTAATCAGCAATTTTCCCTTGGGATCTCTCCTATCATAGATTGGCTTTCCATCACAAATCTCTCAGTGGGCAAATTCCCAAACGATCCACTTGGCCTTACACTGGAGAATTTTGTCAGGACAGAAAAAAGCCCCACATGGCACTACCCTACAATATGCATTAAACTCTTTCCTTCCATTTTCTCCCACAGAAAATAACCAAAGACAGAGCACTAGGAAAAATATGCCCACTTTCCCTTGTCCACACAAGAAAAATCATAAAGATGAGCAAAAGAGAGCTCCAACTCAATGGGAAAAAAAAGATCCATTATTCTATAAACTGGCATCCAGCCCAAAGGAAGCTGAAATGACTGCTCCACTGTGAGCTATTCTTCACAGAGGCAGTTAGTTCTGAAAGAACTTAAGTTGCCCTAGATAGTTTTGACAGATGACAGGAAACTAAATCCAAATGAGATGCCAGTTACAAAGAGATAAACACGGGAACCACTGTTGGGCAATTTTGGACTCTCCATTCAGATGCAGCAAGATCCTAGGAGACGCAATTGGCAAAGAGACATATTGAGGCAGCCACATGTGCTGGGAAGGTCTCCCAGAGATCTGAAACCTGTTCTGAAAACTCTGGACTCCTGCCTGCAAAAGCTCTTGCCACACTGAGCTAGTTAGTCTTTAAGGTGCCAAGGAGTGCCTCGTCCCAAGAAAGAAGACCCTTGTATCCCTTCCTCTTGTCGTAAAATGGCTCCAGTATCTTCTTCCTCTGTAGCATAAAACTCGAACTTCCTCTTATTCCATTAGACATGGAAGGAGTGGAACGGATTGACAGTGGGAGTGTTTCACTCCGTCATTTTGTAGTTCATTATATGCAGCTTGAAATTATGATGGAAATTCATTAGAAGACTGCTACTATTGTAGGAATAATTTCAGACTGAAGACAACATCTATATGGGATACTACCCATGGGCAATCACAAATTCACAGTGCATAAATAGCCAAAAACAATACAAAGAGTCTACTGTGCTAACGAACATCACCATAACAAAAAAGGACAAGCAGCCTCAGTTCCTTTCCATTCTCTAAGAAAAAAACAGTGATCCCAGTGAAGACCCTCACCCAAAATACACAATGTGAAGGATGAGATTCCAAACCTATAAATCATCTTGTTCAGCATCATGTTTCTTGGAGGTAACTTTGCATCTCATGTAGAAAAATGTATTTGAAACTCTCAATAATACCGAGAAAGAGGGGTGGTTTGCTGTTCAAGGCAACTACAGAGCCAAACATCTCAACGATACATTCTTAATTTCATTGGCATGAATAAATAAGTTATTCAAATTCTGGCTGACACATTCACCTTTAATTATTTAATTCATTTAAAAATATATTAGTTGTTCACTAGTTGAAACTTCTCCAGGAGAAATACAAGGAAACTACAATATAAAAAACATGGAAAATAAATATAGAATCCTTATTGTGTTACAGTTTTAGAAGAGGTAGCCGTGTTAGTCTATGCAAGCATATCAGGCAAAATCCAAAGAAACAAAACAAAGCAAAATTTTAAAAAGAGGCAAAAACCTGTTGCACCTTAAAAACTAACGACTATATTTTAATGCGAGCTACTGTCGACCAGTTCACTTCATTAGAAAAATGGGGAAAAATGAAATGCTGGATGATACTAATTACACAAGTAAAACATACTAAATATTCATTTGCTCTAAGACTCTTGGCTATTTGTTTACATCTCACAAGCAGTGATTTATGGCCTACGTTTGGTGTTACATTGTAAACATTCTTTCGGGAGACAGAAAATGGACGACAGACATGAGCAAAACAGAGAGGGGGAAGAGGTGGGGGTTGTAAACTGTTAAAAACTCAAGAGGGGAGAAGAGTATAAAGAAGTCAAAGAATACAGCAGAGGAACCACAAGTGTTAATGTAGGGAATATTGACAGTTTTTACCTTTGAGCCTCGTGATAAGCGATGGGCCTGGAAGTTGTGAAGAAAATAATAGTGTCAGTAAATAAACAGTAGAAGTATAACATTTGGCAATGACTTAAGAAACCTAGGCTCATATTCAGTCCATTTATATGGGTGTCCATTATGTGTATACATTTTATCTCAGCTGTTTTCTTCTTGATTTGCAATGATTCTGTTGTAAAATAGTGACTTTCAAATCCTCTGTAGAGTGTCCTCGTAAGTTGAAATGGTCAGAGACAGGTTTCTGTGTATTGTGGTTTCTGATATCAGATTTGTGACCATTGATCTGTTTGCATAGAGATTGTCCTATTTGCCCTATGTAGGAGAGGAGCATTTTTGGCAAAAGATTGTATAGATCACATTAGCTGAGAAGCAAGTGAAGGTGCCATTATTAGTTCCTGTAACATTATTAGTTCCTGTAGTTGTGTTGCCAAAATAGATATGTGGGCAGAGTTGGCATCTGGATTTGTGACAGGGTTTAGTCCCCCTGTCTGTGTTGCTCTTCTGTGGTCCATTGTGTGCTGGTATTTGCTTGAGGTTGGGGGGGGGATTGTCCATAGGCAAGTATGGGTATTCAACCAAGGCATTGGAGAGTGAAACACTCTTGTCAAGGATGGGCTGGAGCTCACTTAAGATGTATATGAGTAGTGTCAGTTGTGGATTGTAGGTGACACTTAGCGGTGTTTTGTCATTCTGTCTTCTGGGTTTGTTTTCCGGTTACTTCTGGGAATTTGTTTTACTTTGTTGATTTGTTCCTTAATCATATTGGGTGGGTATTGTAGTCTGATGAATGTGTTTTGTAGATCCTTGAGTTTGGAGTATATGATGGATTTTGTTATGTGTTCAGGATAGAAGCTGGAAGAGTACAAGTAGGTATATTGATAGATGGGTTTTTGGTACTGTGTGGTGCTAAGATGTCCATGTTGTAGTTTCACAGTGGTGTTTAGAAAATGCACCTGTTGCATAAGCTCACCCTGGAACAATCTATGCAACAGGTGCATTTTCTAGACACCACTGTGAAACTACAACATAAACATTTTAGCATCATGCAGTACCGAAAACCCACTGATCCATATACAGTGGTGCCTCGGATTAACCCTCGCTATGTGAAAACATCGCTAAACGGAACATAAAAACCCTCGTTTAATGCATTCCAATGGGCCCTAAACTTACCGTTCAGCGAAGTTTCCTCCATAGCGGCAGCCATTTTCGCGCCCTCGGTAAGCGAGGGGAGGGCGCAAAAATGCTGCGCGCAGCCATTTCGGGCGTCCGGCGGCCATTTTAGAACCGCCGAACAGCTGATCCGCGGGCATCGCTATGCGAGTTTTGTCCACTGGAACGATCGGTATGCCTCCACATTAGCGATCCCGAAAAGGGGATCGCTATTCGGATTCATCGTTGTACGGTGCGCTCGTTAAGCTAGGCACCACTGTACCTACTTGAACTCTTCTAGCTTCCATCCTGAATACATAACAAAATCCATCCACCTGATCACCTCTTCTCTGATGGACTCTGGAGTGTCAGGTTTGTCCTTGTTGGAGGACTCCTCCAAAAGGGATGTAACAGAGAAGGAAGAGAGGTAAAGGAGAGGATGAAGCATCCCAATGCAAATTGGGCAGGCAGAAAAATCAAGAAGGTAGTGATGGACTTTGAATTAAAGACCTGCTTATGTCTGCCAGCTTTGCTTTGCCCACACTATACAGTGGTGCCTTGAGTTACAAATTTAATTGGTTCTGGAAGATGGTCGCAACTCAAGCTGGTAACAGAGAAGGAAGAGAGGTAAAGGAGAGGATGAAGCATCCCAATGCAAATTGGGCAGGCAGAAAAATCAAGAAGGTAGTGATGGACTTTGAATTAAAGACCTGCTTATGTCTGCCAGCTTTGCTTTGCCCACACTATACAGTGGTGCCTTGAGTTACAAATTTAATTGGTTCCGGAAGATGGTCGCAACTCAAGTTGGTCGTAGCTCAAAGCACCATTTCCCATAGGAATACACTGAAGCCTCATTAATCCGTTCCAGCTGGGGAAAAAAACCCACTGAAAAGCAAATAAAGACTACAAGACCCGTCGGAAATGTGATTGATCCATTCTGGTCAGGGGAAAAAAAATACCAAAAAGCAAACAAAGACTGCAAGGCCCATTGGAAATTCGGTTGACCTGTTCTGGCCAGAAAAAAAACACCAAAAAGCAAACAAAAACTGCAAGACCCATCACAGCACAGAGACATAACCCCCCAAGCCCAAACCCATGCTGCAAAACCCTGTACTCACTCAGAACAGGCAGTCCGAAGCCTCCTCCAAACGCACACTCTCTAACCGCTGGGATGAAAGAGCTACAAAGAAGCATCCTCTTTGCCAACCAACGGTTAGCAGTTTAAATTCCCCGCCTTTTTCCCTGCCTTTTTTCCAGCCGCAAATCAAAGCTCCGGTCACAAGTCAAAGCAAAATTTTGCAGCTGGAGCTGGTCGTAACTCGAAATGGTCGCAAGTCAAGATGTTCGTAAGTTGAGACACCACTGTAATTTGCAAATTCCAGACCAAAAAGAGAACAAGGGTATAAAAGGAAGGCAGCCCAGCTCAGTTCTAGACTGTGGATATTTTAACCTCACAGGTCAGAACTGATATGATGGGCAACAGCTAAATGCTAGGACAGACCTGCTTCACATCTCTATCCTGCTACAAACCCACTGGCTACGTTTGAGTAATCACTGCCTCCTAGCCACTAAGACTTGGTCTTTGCTCTCATCTCTCATGGCGATTGCTTAAGTCTTTACTTTCATCTCTCATGCTGATTATTCAGATAACTGAAATAATATGCATGGAACTTGTTGATTGAAATCATTGGGAAATATAATATATTATATTTAATTAATTAATTAATTATAACAAACTGAAGTATGTTGTCTTATATATAAACATGAATGCAAATATTATTTTTTATATCCAGCAAGATCTAATTCAAATTCTACAATACTACATCCATCATAACTATAATACAACTTAGGATAGCAAGAAGAGAGTACTATTGCTGCATAGGGAATAAATGCAGTTGTTGACCCTTCACCACCACCCTCCCCAGTTTTTGGACAAAGTCAGGATTGTGTGTTTATGTATGTGTGCCTATGTCTCTGACAGAGAACTAACAAGGGAAGTTTCTTTATCAGTAGTACTTACAAGTCAATTTTGACTCCCATGACAGGAAGCCTTCCCTCTGGAAGAACTCTACGGGTATTAGCATCACATGTCGTTGTAATGGGGATGATCCTTGCCACCAAGAACACCATAGATGTCAAAGACATATTCCAATATATATTCCAAGTCAGCACTCCAAATCACAAGGTCTCTACGTAACTGGGAAGAAAACTGCAATTCACTCTGCCACAATCTAAAAATGTTCAGATGCTTAAAAAAATCCCCAACTCCCATTCCCAAAACAAAAGTATTTATTTGACTAAAAATTTCTTGCCACAGAAGATGTTAAATCATCAGGTCTAACACTCACTATTCTAAATATGAATAAGGTCAAGAAAACAACATCAGTCAAGCAATTAAGAGCATGGATGAGCAACTTCTTCAACACTTAGTGAACTGAGCAAATGGAATTTTTAGGTTTATTGCTTGGGGCTCAACCAAATATTCTTGCTTCTCCTCAGCTGCACACTGAAGTATGCACACTCCCAAAGGGAGAATTTGTTGCTGGAGAGCAAAGTTCTGCTGTCATTTGAGAATACTTTAGCTCAAATGGTTTCTACTCTTTGTCTGAATGTAGATAGAAGCACGTCAAGCTACAAAGGGCAAGTCAAACTGTAAGTTTCCCACCAATATTCCCCTCAAGAAGAATAAAAGAGTGACAACCCCATTCACTGTTCAGCCTGGACAGAGAGCAGCCTGCCTTCTGACTGGATAGGGACAGGGTTATAGTGGGAAGCAATTCTCAAAACACCACTTCTCAGCTAAATTTTCACAGTCATCATCTGTATTCCAGAAGGACTGATTCCCTGAACATGGAAAGAGAACCCACAAGCTATATTTAGAGTCTTGAGTAATGAGCCCCTGTGGCAAACAAAAGAAAGCCTTCAACAATTGCTCATGCCCTGAATGTAGGCAGCTGACCTGGGAGATTACTTCATCTTATGTTCAAGCCTAGTCAACAGAGCAGAGCTTGGAAATGTAATCTCAATGGGCTTCAATACCCAAAATCTCCTAGCCAGAATGACTAATGTATTTTAGGGAAACATGGTTCAAAAACAGTAGTTTTTCTAAGTTCCAAACAGACCACAGACAGAGATATTAGTCTCATCTTCAGGTTTACACAGTAGTCACAGGTGCATAATAAACAGCAGGCTACAGTGGCATAGCTTCTTCACCCATTCTGAACAGCTTCTAGCCCAATCTCCTTCCCTGCAAAAAAAGTCAAAGAACCACACAATTTATTTTTTATTGATTAGTTGATCAATTCAACAAAGGGATGAGATCTCAGATAGAAAGCAAAGTACAAGTGTTTGAAACATATACAATTTCCTACTACAAAGGTGCACAACTTCTTGGCCCCAAAGCCTGCATGAGATGTTTGTTATGTACAGTCATGGCCAAAAATATTGGCACCCTTGCAATTTTGTCAGAAAATGCAACTCTTCTCTCAGAAAATTGTTGCACTGGCAAATGTTTTGGCACTCACATGTTCATTTCTTTGGTTTGCGTTGGAGCAACACACACAAAAAAAAAACAACAACAGAGGAGAAAAGTCAAATCTCATACAATCCCACACAGAAACCCAAAAATGCACTGGCCACAATTATTGGCACCCTGTCTAAATTGTAAGAAATAATTGATTCCAAGCATGTGATGCACCTTTAATTTGTATTTAGACAGCCTGTTGCAAGTAAGAGGTGTGGGGAATATAGTAATCACACTTGCAACCAGTTAAGATGGTGAAAAGTTGACTCAAGCTTTGTGTTGTGTGGGACACTGAGCATGGAGGAAAAAAATGAAGTATGAAGAGCTGTCTGTG